CAGGGGCACAGGCCAGAGATGTGGTGGCCTGGCCTAGAGTGGGGGTGGGGGGGATGGCAGGAGAGGGTGGGATTTGGGAAATAGTTAAGAGGTAGCATCAGTGGGGTCTGGGGATGGAGCAGATGCAGGGGAGGGGGTGGAGCCTGGAAAGTGCCTGGGGTTCTGGATTGGTTGATGGAACAAGACTGGCAGGCTTGAGGAGACGATGATTGTCCAAGATTCCTTCCAGTCCAAGGACTAGAGTATCTGTGGAAGTGGTAGAGACCATAGGATCAGAATACTAAATCCTAGATCTCAAAGAAAGCCCAAGTAGAGTCAGGTCCTGGCTGAAGGCCTCATGCCCCTCCCCATCCCCCTGCAGGTCACTGAGTTATTTCCCCCTTTACATCCTTCCAGCATCTTCTTCGCGCCAGGCACTCTATCCAGCACTGGGGATGTAAGTCATGTGCCCTGCCTTCAAGGAGGAGTCAAGTAAACAGGAAATTATGATATAGGTCTGAGTGGCTATAACAGGGAATGCCAGGGCTACGGGATCAGGGTCGCTGAGAAGGGGCACCCAGTGTGGCCGTGGGAGGGCAGGGGAAGCTGTCAAGGAGGAGCAAGGAGCACCAAAAGTGAGTCTCAAAGCAAGGGTGGAAGTAGCAGCATCAGCGATGGAGGCAAAGGGAATAGCATGTACAAAGCCCCAAAGCGATATGCTGCAATGAGGCCCAGGGAAGTTAAGCAACTTGCCCAAGGTCACACAGTTCATTTGCAGAAGAGAGAGAAGCAGAGCTTACTCTCTGTGTGCCAAGTTCTTAGTATATGTGTTCCATGTTTTTCATGACTTTTCTCTAGCCCCTCAACCCCGTTTTCCCCTTCCTCCCACCCCCAACCTCCACTTGGCCCAGAGAGGTACACGAAACAGGGGAGGTGAGCTCTTCTGCAGGGTTGGATCTACTCAGCATGAGGGCCCCATCACCCTCCTCTAAACCTCACCTTTCCTGCCCACTCCTGCTGACCTGACGTGTAAACCCATCTATTAGAATTATGTCCAATATTTAAAAAAAAGGTTCATGGTACTAGTCAGAACTCTGTACAATCCTCCTATCCCACCAAGTGAGTCATAATTAAAGTAATTCTCCTGCCCAAGCTGAAGCACGAGTTCCCTGTGCTGTTGTTAACTGGATACTCCTTAAATTGAATGTAATTTCTTCGAGGGGCAAGTAGGGACCATGCTTTTTTTCTTTTGGTACTCCTCTGCCTTGGTGCTTTGCACATCATGGCTATTTAAAAAGTATTCACTCAATGAGCTCTTACCATGTCCAAGACACTGTTAGATGCTAGGAGAAGGGTACGAAGATAAATAAGAAACAATCTCTGTCCTCAAGGACCAGAGTCATAGGGAATTGAGGGAACTCTCTCATCTGGGCCAAGTGACCACCCACATCACAGTGTAGTGTCCAGATGGGCTATGGTCTAGCCCCTGCATGGCCAGTCCCAGGAACACAGAACTCACTACCTCACAAGCAGGACAGTCAATATTTTTAACAGCTCTAAGTGTTCATTGAGCTAAAGTCTTCCTCCCCTGTAGCTTTCATACATTAGTACCACTATTGTTGCCTGGAATGATAGAAAATACATCTAATCCCTCTTTCACATGCCAGCTCTTCTGTATTTAGAGCTCGTTTCCATGTCTACTTTCTCCATCTGACTCCAGCCAACCCTATTTTCCCTCTTAGGAGACCCTCAGAACCTCAGGACTCTCATTTCCCCCCTTAAATGAAGCCCCCAGAGCCAAGCACAGGCTCCAGAGAGGCTAGAAACTAGCTAGTGTAGGGTTCTGCTAGCTGCTCCCTTATTCTGGGGCCTCGTCTAGCCTTCTCTGAAGGCTGTGGTGCTGGCTTCTTTGGCTGCTGCTTCACCAGCTGTTGATTCATCTTAAGCTTACAATGAACTGAAGCCCTAAGGCTTCTCCCAGGACCAAGCCTGCCCATCTTATACTAGTGCCGTGGGCTTTTCAAAGCTAAGAGCAGAACTTAAGGTTTTTCCCTATTTCATTTGACTTTTTTCATTTAAACCATCTTTCCATCCTGATGAGATATTTTTAAAATCTTGGATTCTATCATCAAGGTATTAGCTGTCCCCTATTCGCTGTGTCAGCAGAAAGTAGTTAAAATGATTGAACTGGCTGTCCAGTTCAAGGATAGCAACCCACTCAATGACTCTGGAATTAGCACTGGTAGAAAAAGACACCTTTTTGAGAATTCTGTTTGAGAACAACCCACCTGACTACATTGTGATCTAATCCACTTTCTATCAATTCTATGTAGATACCATGAGAGATTTTGTCAAGTACTTTTCTAGAGCCAGATGCACCAAGCTGCAGCTGGTCCCTGATCCAGGATACTAGCTTGGCATCAATGTCTAAAGAAAGAAATAAGGTTGGTTTGGCTTGATTAGTCTTAGTGACCTTTCTACTAGCTACCCTTCCCAAGACTCACCTTGTCTACTGAGTTAAAGATTGGTTCTGTAGAACCTACACATTTCAGAGCAAAAGGGACCTCAGAGATGCTTCAAGCCCTGATTCCCAGTTTTGCTGATGAGAAACCAATGCCCAGAGTGCTTAACTGGCATTCCCAAAGTTACAGAGTTAACTAGAGCAAGAACAAAGGTCGGATGCCCTGTCTCTGGCTCTAAGTTCAACGCTCTTTCTTAACAGCATCAAGTCATAATGTCTTTCTCTAAGCATGTTCACAAACGCGCGCGCGTGCGCGCGCGCGCGCACGCACACACACACACACACACACACACACTTTCTTCAAGTCTTTTAATTGTCCACCAAGACAAACTGTGGCATTATCATTGGGGAAGGGGGTTCACTGGGAACCCCATGNCTAACGCTGTCTCATTGCACCTGGAATCCTAATATTTATGAGCTTTTTATTTTCTCATAGATAGGCATGGATCTTGTAGCAAGATCAAACTCGAAGGACATGCTCCCTGTCCCCTGCGTCCTCCCCAACACACAGCGCACAATTTCACAAGTGGATGCTTCTCTCACCCCCGGCAGATAGAACTCACTATGCACCGGAACACACTTTGGATTTTCTCACCTTCTACATCTGTTTGCATTATTACCCCTCAGGGAAAATATTTCCTGCTTCTAATGTTCTCATCTCATCAACCTTAAGAACAAGCTCCAACCTCCCCCTTCAAACCACCCCTGAACACACAACTTAAAGTCATCCCACAGATACAGACAGCAATTACTGTTTAAAGCCTCGTGAACTCTGGTTTTTATTTAATTTTTTTTCTTATATTATGAACTATTTTGTATATGCAGGTATGAATAACATGTGAGGTATAAAGAAAAATATACATTTGTACCCAGCTCAAGAAACAGCACATTAGAAGCCTTTAATACTTTACATTCCTCCTTCCCTCTTCGAAGGCACGCCTGTCCTGACTTTGTGTTTATCATTCCCCACCTCCTCCTTTGGGGCGAATTTCCTCCTGTCTTTACAGAAGCAATGGTGGCTGCCTGGCGGGAGCACCAAGTCTGCAGAGTGTGCTCAATGGGGAGACTCAGGAACACTCCAGGTCTTGCAGACCCCAAAGGGGTCAGGAAGCCCCTCCAAGGGCAATGGCCCCACAACTGCCTGCTGGCAGGGCTGCATAGATGGCAAGGAGTCTGACCACTGCTGGATGTGCCCATTATTTCAGCAAGGAGACTTTTAGGAAAGAAAATGGATGTGTCCCTTGAGGACCACCCACCCCTCTGATGGCCCTTTGCAGCCTGCATGTGCAATGATCTCCAAATGGAGCATGGTGACTGTCAGGAGCCACACAGTTGATGCTGGGAGCGGCGTACTCAAGAGAGGCATCAGCCTACGTGCCAGCTGGGAGCCAGGTCAGGGTGTGAGTGCCTTTTGGGTACCTGAAAAGAGGGGGTACATGAGGCAGCAGGCAGTGTCGGCCAGCTCATAATTGGGCAGCCCTGTGGCAGCTACAGGTGTGCTCAGGGCCTGACTGCCTGGGTCTGAATGCAGGCTCTGCCTTGGCCCTGCTGTGTGGCCTCGGGCAAGTTGCTTAACCCCCTTGTGCCTCACTTTCCACTGCATGAAAGAATTAGGTAATGATACATGTCAAATGCTCTGTAAGCCCTATAAATGTAGCAACTATCTTTTTTCCTTTTTAGGATTTCCAACATGCTATTTTGCAAGATAAGAAAAAAATTCCAAAGCACCCTTCAGTTTCCCTATGATGTTATAAAACAGCGGTTCTCAACCTCCCTAATGCCGTGACCCCTTAATACAGTTCCTCATGTTGTGGTGACCCCCAACCATAAAATTATTTTCNCACACACACACACACACACACACACACTTTCTTCAAGTCTTTTAATTGTCCACCAAGACAAACTGTGGCATTATCATTGGGGAAGGGGGTTCACTGGGAACCCCATGACTGACCACTTTCTCCTAATGTGTCACAGAATAGAAGATGGAGGCCTAGAACCTCTCAATGGGACTTGTTTTCCAAAGGGGAGCTTTGAATTTTCCCAATTCCGGTTAATCTTGGGAATCCTCAATCTATTGGGAGGAGACCACTATCTTTAAACCTCGTTTGAGCCTGTGTGTGCCTAGGCATGGGGCTTGCCCCTTGAGTGGGGATGTAAGCTGGGCTATCTTTTCTAAGTAGTGAGTGGTGGTGGGACTTCCCCAGAGAACACTGGGCTATTTGCCCTAGCGCTTTGTGGGGCAGTTGAGGCTTCCTGCACATGGCGAGAGGAGCAGAGCCCTGAACACATTGCTTAAGGGTCTGGTATTGCAAGGGTGTGACCCTTCCATGTAGGGCTGTTTGCCTGAGGGAAGGGCTGATTACTTAGCTAGTTTTGGGAGAACTAGTGGCTACAGCAGAGGTGGGCCCAGATGGGGAGATCCCTGGTACCCTGGACAGCTCCCGAAGGCAGGGTCCCTTCACCACCCTTCCCGCCCCCCATCGGAGGCCCAGGGTACCTGTTTATTCTTTAGGTCAAGGGAGAGCTCGTAATCGGAGGCGGCAGGGGCTTGGGAGCAGAGCGCCGTCGCCAGGGCAGGCTGCTGCTGGCCCGGGGAGGCCTCGCGGTGGGGGCCAGCCCGAGGGGAGGCAGCCCCCACCCCTGGCCGCACCTCCTCCTCCTGCAGCTCCTGGGCTTGAGCCTTCGGGACATGGGCACTGGGTCTGCAGGCTGCCACCACCGCCGCTGCTACCATGGAGTCCTCCATGCCCCCACCGGCCTGGGCGCAGGAGCCGTCACTGTAAACAAAAGGCAACGGTGCTCGGTTGGGGGAGAGGGGGACAGGGTGCATGTGGGTGTGGGGGTGGGGGAGAAACTGGGCACTTTGGCAGCGAAGGGCCTTCCTAGTGGTGGGGGCTGGTGGGGTTGTCTCCTACAGTCCCCTCTAGGGAGGGGTTATCTTGGCAGGAAATAGTCCCAGGTAAGGAGAACCTGAACTTGGGGAGGCTATCCCATGCAGAGGGAAGAAACAGCTATGGCTAGATCTTACGAAACTCTGCTTAGAAGCAGTAGAGCAGAGTGGCTAAGAGTAGACTGCCTAGGCTCTGCTTCTTATTAGCTGTGGACTCTGAGCAGGTTACTTAACCTAATTGTACCTCTGTTTCCCCATCTATAAAATGAGCATAATAATAGGATCTACCTCATAGATGTTGGCAGGCTTAAATTAGTTAAAGTTCTTCAAATGGTGTCTGGCTCATGGTCACTGCTATGTATTACATAAGTGTTAACTATCGTAGTTATCAGTGGGCTAGGTCTCTGGCCTGGCTTAGGTAGCTGGGAGGAAGCTGACCCACATTGAACCAGCTCCATCTTTAGACTGCCCAAATGAGCCTGGGGGAAGGAGTGATGCTTATAGGTCTGGCTTGAGCATAAAGCCTGTCCAGGGCGGTGGACTCCAGCTTTTTTGGGCTGGGTCTATGAAGAGGAGGGTTCTTGCCCTGATGGGTTTAGGGAAGCATCTGCTTTTCCCTGGCCCCTTCCCTTCTCCCATGGAGTCACCAGCTGGCTGTGCTGTAGCTGCTGCCCACTTGCCAACTATAAGAAGACACCTGCTAGTTGGACCCCACACCCCCACCTGCCCTGGGGCATTAGTGCACTCATGTTGCTTCCCCTGTCAGGTCCAAGTTCTGCCCTTCTCACAAGGACCAGTGCTAAGCCACCTCCTCCATGAAGCCTTCCCAGGTGACTCCAGCTTTCATTGCTCTACCTGCTGGACTACTAGGAGCTGTGCTTAGAGAGTCACTGGCTATGTCACACAGGAGGAGAAGCAGGTCACAGTATGGACTCAAATCCAAGCTCTGCCACTGTGGCTTTGGTCATGTTGCTTTTTCTCTGAGGCCTGGTTTCCTCATCTGTATAATGGAGGTACTAGTACCCACCCTATAGGGTTATGGTAAGGGGGTAAAGGAGTCAATATATGTAAAGTGTTTAGCACAGTGCCTGGCACAGAGTAAGTGTTCAATTAACGTTAATTCTTGTTTCCCCAGTCTGTCCCCTCCTAGAGGCCAGGGCTTATATTCCATTTGATTCCCTTCTCCTCACTTAGTGCTGGGCCAAGGATGAGTGCTCAATAAATGCTTGCTGACAACAGACTCGAAGAGGACCCAAGGGCCGGAGGATGACCTCTTCAGTGGACAGTGAACCTGGGGTCATCTAGTTCAGCCTTCCAATCTCCCTTTCTTACAGATAAGGAACGGGAGCCCAGGGAGGTGGGGTGGACCTAGTTAGAGAGCTGGGCATCCTCAGGACTTACTTATTTCTTCTAAGGCTTTGCCTCCGTGTAAGACACCCCAAATTGTACCGGAGAGGAGACCTTTTCCTGTTGCTTCCACCCAACCTTGGGGCCTCCTGGTGCTAGAGTAACTAAGGGGAGGGTAAAGAATCCTTTCTTCACTAATCCCTCCACCTGTCCTCCCAACATTCCCTGGGCTTCCCCCTCTCCCCGCACCAGATAAAGGAGAGCTCATTGGCCAGCCTTATAACCAGGAGCCCCAAATTCCCTAAGGCAGCCCTCCTTGCTGCCGCATGTTCCTTTGCTCCATCATTTCTTGTGTGGCCACCAATGATAAGTTAGATAGTTAGATAAGCTCTGGTTATCTGATATGCTTTTAACTAGTATCACCCGGAGGTTCTTTCTAACCTCTAACTTCAACTCCTCTTGCTAAAGTACACGCCCATTCTTCCCGCAGGGCACATGGAAATAGCCCTTACCCTCTGTGAGCCCTGGCATTCAGGCTGGCATTCAGACTCATCCATCTCCTCTCCGGACTGTCCTTGGTACAGGTGCCCAAGGCCTCCCCACCCCAAAAGCTTTCAAGACTCTTTAGAGAACTGGTGGTTACTCAGGGCTACAGACACCTTTTAAAATAGCCCTTTTGTTTTCTTTGATTGCTGGCATGTGCTTGGCAAGAGGTTCTGGGGAGTCGATGCTGCTCAACAGCAGAGCACGACCAGCGACAACAGAGGCTGGAGGACAAATACCAGCTTCCTCGTCCCTTGGGCAAAACCACTCTGGAGTACATTTTACACCATCTCCCACAAGCGCCCAGTAGGATGGAGCCCCAGTGGGCCATAGCAGAGACCTGATTATTAATGAAGCTGTACTGACTTCCTTCTCTTTGGTTTCTCATTCCCGACTCCTTATTGACACTTCTTAGGGTCACCATCACAAATAAACTACTTGTGTTAAAACAAAATTTCAAAGGAGCATTCTTTGTGAGCCACCCCTCTGGATCTAGACCAAGGCTCCAAGGTCTTCTCACACAAATCATTCACAGGGCCTGGGAGTTAGGAGGCCCCCCCTACCATCTCCAGCACATGCACGTACATGCATGTGCATGGGTGATCACACACACGCACACACGCACACACGTATACACAGTGTTTCTAAACAGCTATGTGGCTTTGAGTAATTCATGTCCTCTACCTGGTCAGTTTCCTCACCAGTTACATGGGGGAGCTTACTTATCTCTTAAGGACCCTTCCAGCTCAAATGTTCTGGGAACTTGGGTTGCAGTGCCAATGCCAGTCCACCAAGGCCCACCAACCCCAAGGTCCCAGGCTCTCTGGCTGGTGGAACCATCTCCACCTTTGCCCACCTATGTGCACAGGGGCCTGAGAGACTATAGTCCTTCCAGGTTTATGATTAAGACTGTTGGAAAGGGGACCCTGCCCTGCCTTTGTTCTTCGGAGTTCTCCACAGACCTGCGTGGTAGAGGGTGGCTGTGGAAACCCCCCACTGCTGTCACCAATATGGCAAAGTTGAAGGTTTTATAGTATAGGGCAAAGAACACGGTGTTTGATTTTGGGAAGACCTGGGTAGAATCTTGGTTCTGCTTCATACTGTATGACCTTGGGGAAGTTACCTAACTTCCTTGTGGCTCTATTTCCTCCTCTACAAAACGGGCATCCTAATAACTCCTTTGCAAGGTGACTATAGCTTGCAAAGCACCTAGTGCATTGCCTGGCACACAGTGGTCCTTGATAAATGGTGATGGCACTGGTGGCTGTATTCTGATCTGGAACCCTACAGCATGGAGTCATAAAGGAATCCCCAGAAAATAGCATGGAGAATTCCTAAGCAGAAACGGTTCTCAACATTTAGCCTTCCTGTCAACCTTCACGAAAGAAAAACAATAGGGCCTTTCCCAGCCCTCCAGACTAACTCTCAGGGTTTTTAGGGAGAAGACTAAAGATGAATGGCTTCCTTCCACCCCGGCTCTCCATCCAGAGGAGCAACACAGCGAAGGTCCTTGGTGTGTGGTATCGCCAAATCATGGGACCCATGGCCTCTGAGGAACCTGTGTGTATTCACTACCTACAGGAAATCCCTTTAACTGTAACCACCCCAATGTGGGCATCCCTAGGTGGGCATTTGTCCAGTGCCTGTTGTGCAGATTTGTGCTTTGGGCACTTTGTCAGGGAGCGATGGAGACCTGAGTGCTCAGCACCTCGATTTGGTGGCTGAGCATGAACAGAATGTTCCCAGCCTCTGTTTCCCTCTCGGCACTCCATCTATAAAAACGGTCCAAGGACAGAAGTTCAACTCTTCATCCTAGGCTGTCATAGCTGGAAGGACCATCTCCTGCAATCTGCAGTCTCTTATATAACTGGAGGCCCATCGTCCCAGCACGTGGAACATCACTCCTCCCAAGACACAGTCTGTGTTGCTTAAGCTTCCAGAGTTTGCTGGACTGACCTCACATCATGAAGCTGCCATCCTTAGTGAGTCAGATTTCAGGCAGCCTGATACTTGGACAGGAATCACATGGATGAGATTCCCTGTGTGACCTGCTTAGCTTCTTGTAAGGCCCCCCCCCCCCCC